GTCTGTCTGTCTGTCTCTACATCTAATTAACAAACTTTGTATCAGAAAAAAACTTTGTATCTTTGTATTTAGTCGTATCAGAAACCACTAAAGTAAACAGACGCATTAATTTGAGTCGTTAAAGGGTAACTAAACCCCTGGTCAGAGCCTGACTCCACCCACTAGCAATATTTGAAAAATGCTGAAAAAATGGGCAGACCCCAGCGGGGCTAGGGGGCGTGCACCTGAGACCCGCCGTGAGTGACAGCTGCTGTCAGACTCTAAAATAGAGCGAGACTAGTCTGGAGTGACTCAATAGCTGCCTTTGCAACAGAGCGGCCATTTGAAGTCGAGGACTTTTCTCCCTCACCTTCACCTTCACCTGAAGTGGATGAGGGTGAATTGTATGTATACACAGGGCCAAATCCATTCGAGCTGCTGGCTCAAACTGCGGTCTTAACTCCCGCATCGCGACCGGCATCTGATGAGTTATGTCGTCGAGTTGATCTCAATAGCGCACGCTATTGATATTATGCCGCTATATGAAAAAATCCAGCAAAATGCACCGGCTCGTTTGTCGACCCTAGAGGATTAACTTTATCCGATTCCTAACCATAAATTGTGATTAAAATATCCACCATGATCACTCACATCAAGACGCCGCTGCGGTGGAGGAGTCCATGCAGGACGAGCAGTGTTTGGCACTGCGTGTGCAGCTGTGTGGAGAAGCCCATGTCCACCTCTATTCCGTTACTATCCTGATCACTGTACTAAACACTGATAAATCTATGCTAACTTGAAGCTATCCTAACTGTACTATGCTACTAGCTACACAAAATAATCTAAATTATCTATATAATGCTATGCTAAATAGATGCAACAATACCCTATCCTGGTCGTTTTCAAAAATAATCTAAATAACTATATAAATGCTATGCTAACTAGATGCTATTATATGCTATAGTATCCTGATCGTTTTCAATATTCATAAATCCAACTCCTGACTCGCTACAGTAGTTTTGACGGAACCAGATGCTTTTATACCAGGGGCTGCCAAGGGCGTGGTGAGCTCGCACCAAGGGTGTGACAGAGTGCGTCTGAGAGTTCGCTACGTCAGCAAGTACCCCTACTGCAGGAGCTTTCCGTTTAACCTGAAGAGGGCAGCACTCAGACGTTTTTACACCATATATTTGAAAATCAAAACACTTTATACTCAATTGTCAAAAAATGTACTCGAATCAATGAACAGCATTTATGAAGCTCCATTCTTACAGATCATTAACTAAAAAAAGTTGTTTTGGTGTTTAGTTACCCTTTAATCACAGAGGGTGTGTTTGTGTGTGTGTGTGTGTGTCATTGTGCGGTAGTTGATTTTCCAGCCTTCTCTTTGAAGCACCAGCTCTCCCTCTTGTCATGTAAATGAGAACTCCGGGTAATTAGGGTAACTAATTGGGTCCATTAGCGTGTTGAATGTGTGTTTTGAGTGTTTTAAGGGCAGGATTGTCTAGCGTCTGTTGACCCACTTCTGCAGCCCCAAAACATTCTTATATGACAGCAAATTAACATATTAGATGAGATGCAAATCCACTCAAGATTCTGTATAATACAGTGACTAGGGAACATCAACCCTTGAAAAAAAGAATTACCATATTATCAAAAGTATTACCATGGTAGATGTCCAAAAAACATGGTATGACGAATATCATAGACATGGTACATTCCAAAGAAATACGGTTTCAAAATTGTGGTATATGTTTAAAATTATTGTATTATTTTACCATGATATGATTCCAAAAACAAAGTATCAGCATATCATAATCATAGTATGAGCATGGTAGATGTCCTGAAAAAGTTTTAGCATGATATGTGTCCAGAAAAGCAAGTTTTTACCATGCTATGGGTCAAACAATGTTTAACTGCATTAATACCATGTTGTGAGTGTTTTGGTGACGTGTGTTTCGCCGTGTCTTTCAGGTGACGTCTCTCGGCGTGGCCACGTTCACTCTGTGCGCGCTGAGCATCGACCGCTTCCACGCGGTCACTAGCGTTCCGGCACGGCTGCCGCGCGTCGAGTCCTGCCAGTCCATCCTGGCCAAGCTGTCGGTGATCTGGGTCGGGTCTCTGGTTCTGGCGGCGCCGGAGCTGCTGATGTGGCGTCTGGAGCAGCGAGTGTCTCCACAGACGGGTCTGCCGGTGGATTCGTGTAGCCAGGAGCCGTCCGTGGAGTTGCCCGAGACGCTATACTCGCTAGTGCTAACGTACAGTGAGGCGCGAATGTGGTGGAGATTCGGGTGCTTCTTCTGCCTGCCGCTATTGTTCACCGGCGCGTGTCAGTTGCTAACACGACACGTCGCTGACGAGAAACGCCCGTCATCCGCGGCGTCGTCCGCGTCATCGTCTCCGAAGAAGCAGCAGCGGGAGCGTCAGCTAACACGTACGGTGGTGGCGTTAGCATCCATATACGCCGTGTGCAGTTTGCCGGAGAATGCTTGGAATATTGTGTTGGCGTCTGCGGGAGTGGAAGTGGGCGTGGCTACGCGGGCACTCCTCGCTCTGATTGGCCAGTTCCTGTTGTTCGTTCGCACGGCGGCGACGCCCATTTTGCTGCTCTGCGTCAGTCGTTCTCTCGGCCAGGCGTTCATGGACTGTTGCTGCTGCTGTTGCGACGAGTGTCTCCCGCCGGATTCTTCGTCCGCATCTTCGTCCACAAACGCAACCGCCATCTCCTCGTCACTTTCATCGCCCGTACAGGAGGAGAAGCTGAAGATCGTGTCGGGAACCTCGCCCGCAGAGTTCTTCGATAAAGTCAAGGATGCTCCGGTTGAGCTGATCATTGGAACGCCGTGTTGATCCGGATAAAAACTGTGACAGGAATATCGTCCATCACTAACACTGTTCTTCACTCTTCAATTAATAGGAGTTCCTCTAGTGGAAGCCTTTGGAACTGCAGCCGAACACACACACTCACTGAACGCTCATTATTTAAAATATCAAACTCGAATTTGCACAACTTTTTCAGAGCTCTTAGATTTTCTTGCCGTTTTAGAGTAAAACGTGTTTTTGAAAGTATAGATTTCATATAACAATGGAAAATAGTATTTTTGTGCATTTTTCATAACAATAAACGTAAAATTCTGTATTTTTTTCACTTTTTAAAACGTTTGTCACGTCAGCAATAATCTGCTGAGTGTCGTGTTTGAGAAGAGATCAAACTTAGGTCTGTCGCGCTAAAGCGTTCCAGATTTACCCGTTTAAGTTGGAAATGTAATTTTCAGGTCTATGCTCAAAACGTGAATAAATAATTAGAAATACACCGTAAATATAATGTAGTGCCATAAAATCCCCTTAAAATATTAAATAAATAAAAAACATTATCAAACTAAAATATTGTACATTTCTTTCACTGAAATAAAATAATAACATTGGGTCATTTTTGAGTGGCGCGTGAAGATTTCAGAGGATTTAAAGGGCCAGTTCACACAAAAATCATCATTCACTCGTTCCAAACATGTATGACTTTCTTCACATGAAATAAATTCTCACTCTCTCTTTAAAGACAGCCGCTGGATCGGGTTGAACTACTTTCAGTCCAATACATACGACTTTAACCATTCTAACCAATAATATGTTGTTTATGCACAGAGACTGCTGGATGGACATGATTTACCGCAAACTTGAACATTTTTATGCACTTGTATCTTTAAATTGCCTTTTGTTTTAGAACTCTGAGAATGAAAATCTGCCTCTTCAGCTCAAAGATTGAGTGTTTCACCGTCTGATGCTCTGCTGGATGGATCTGTGCAGAGACGACTGACTCTATGAACTATAAGATAACACGTTAGAAATGATTATAATAGCATTTGTTAGCGTCAGATCTTTTGTATTTGTTTTTTGTACTTGGTTGCAGCCAATAAAGTTTTAAAAGAGTTTGAGTATGTCACATAAGCCTTGCAAACTCCTTTGTTTTGGACATTTTGTGTGTTTATCTGTTTGAATGAGTCGCACACACAGTCGGACTGCTGGGATTTTCCTCCTACAGTGGATTCTCAGGAGGAGTCGCGGGGCCCATAAGGACCGTATTGTTCCCGAGCCGCGGCCCCCGCGCTGAATATCAATAGCGAGTTGCTACGCGACTGTCACACGCCGGCTCTCGGCATTCAGACTCAAACATTAGCAGACCAGAAACAGACTCGGCATTCTCCGGCGCCTTTTCTCTCGCCATAGAGACGGGCCGCTCGCGCTGATGTGGGCAACAAGTAATCCGGGGTAGATTAAACGCTCTGTGTTGCTGCGAACCTCACAAAATGAGGTCAAGAGTGCGCTTCACACTTTGAAGGAAGCCGGCTCTATGTCCTGCGTTTTTGGGGTGCAAGTGTTTGAAGTTTGTTGTCGTGTGGCGGATTTGAGGGGTGACGGTGCCATGATATTCAGGTAGCGCAGTATAAACGTTGAACTTATGAGCCAAATTGGCCAAAAAAAAGAGTAGAGCTTCTTGTGAGGAAGTTGTGTTAAATGTCAAAGGCAAATGAATAAATCACACTGAACAACATTATAAACGCAACACTTTTGTTTTTGCCCCCATTTTTCATGACTCAAAAGATTTAAGACTTTTTCTATGTAGTTACACAAAAGGCCTATTTCTGTCAAATATTGTCCTCTAACCTGTGTTAGTGAGCACTTCTCCTTTGGTGAGATCATCACAGGTGTGGCGTATCGAGATGCGGATTACTGCACAGGTGTGCCTTAGGCTGTCCACAATAAAAGGCCACCCTAAAATGGATGACATTTAGAAATACAGTCTTTTGTGTTATTTAAAAAACAACAACTACTAATTATAATTCACTTTTTTGTAACATCTAAGGAGTCATATCATTGTTACAATTTCCAAGTAAATATTGATTTGAGAATGGGGAGAAATTCTGATTGATTGTCTGTCCACTAAATTGATGCACCTCCAGCTATTTCAGCTACAACTCATACTGTGATTGTTCTTTAAAATAGTTTATCTGCAGTAACTTTTTTTTGGTTGTAAATAAATTCATTTGTGTTATTAGATTGTAATTTGCAGTTATATCAAAAAAATTACTTATTACAGTTGTTCAAAAAGTAATCTGATTACATAATGCATGTTAACATGTTACGCGAACACTGCTCATTTTAGATGAGCTTTTAAAAAACACGTTTTTTTCAAAGCTTTTGTCCAGTCTGGAAACATAAATAGATGAATGTGTAGTTAAAGTTATGTAAACAATGTTACGTATCTATCTATAGAAACACAGACGCTGTCGCTGATAAACAACTTACTGATTTTATCACAAAAATATGCCATAGCTAACTGTGAAAAGTGCGACAGCTAATTTTAAACAAATCAATTTTCCCAAACCAAAGGAGGTTTTGTCACATGGATCTGTGGACATTTTGTCCTTAAACTATAAACCCACACACTGGCTCACAGAGGGGGTTCTGTTGAATTATGAATTCATGAATGAAAACCAGAACTGCACAACAACAGAGAGGTCAACATCTATTCACACACAGCAGCACTGTGGTGTTGAGTGAGTGATGTATTCACATTTAATACAATTTCAGTGTCCGATAATAAAACGCATTTTAATATGTCTGAGGTGAAAACACACTAAGGAGAGTTTGGTGAATCTCCTCAGAGACATATACATATAGTGTGTTCGTTCTATTAATTTAAGAGTTTAAGTGTGTGTGTGTGTGTGTGGGGGGGGGGGGGGGGTTGACGAGACACAGTTTGTTTTGTTCCACTGAAGAAGATTGAAGTGTGTGTGAGATCGCCGTGGAGACCCGGTCAGAGAGTTCCGCCGTTACCAACCGAGTTCAATGGAGCTCGCGATCACAGCTGGGCTCGGCGGAAACGACCACAGGGTCCGCGGGCATGATACCATAGATATCATATAATAAATACAAAGAAAATATTTATTATGTCTATGGGTGACACATCCGGCACGTCACGCTGTCACCGTCTCCATGACAACACTCTGACCTTCTCACATCCTATAATGAATAATAACGGCCAACCGGACCCGTCCAAAATCAACATCGAGGGGTCTGAGGGATGAATGAGCTCAAACAATCCCAGTTAACTCACTAAAACCAGCTTTTCATCCCGTCAGACCCCTCGCTGCTGTTGGTTGTGGACCGGTCCGCCTGCGTTTGTGTATCCCTGGAATAACGACCGTTATCGAAAATGTCATTTTTAATTATGACAAATGTGTTTATGTGATGGTCTTTTTAACCCCCTTATACATCAGCCGCAAGTTTTTGTTGCTGTTTGTTGAAAATAAATATTTTTTGAAATAAAAAATTTATTTAAAAAACAAAAAAAGCTCGAAACTCGCCGATACGTTTGTGCGCCTACGGAGATTATCCGCGATACAGCATGTCTGAAATTAATTAATAAAAGAATTTATTGGGACAAAATTTAACAAGCAGATTAATAATTACAGAAATTAACATTTTTTATTATTGACGCCACACACGTTTGGTAACAGTCCTCAGATTAAAAAACTGCACAGCTTCTTGTTTAATAAATAATGAGAGAAATATAAGTGTCGACTGACCTCTGCTGGTGACGTTGAAGACTCGCATACTGCTGCTCAGTGTGCAACTTACACTGCAGTGCATACTTAAACAAGGGTAGGTTGAGCACAGCACAGTGCATTGTGGGATACAGTACAAGGTGTAGTGCAGTAGATCACCAAGTAGTATGCAAGTAGACAAACAAAATACTACATCCTGCAGAAATATAGTATGTTAGTGTGATTTTCTGAAGGCTAAACATCAACAGCACAAATGTAAATTCCAAAAATAAATGAAAGTTTCTCAAATCTTTTGAAGTACATTTCTCATGCAGACAGTATCACTGAACTAGACTCAAATTAAAACTTGACTGAAAGACAGAAGAAACAGCGGTTCTGATAGGGAAATCATTTAATTTCATTTTTAAATAATCTGTAAATAACAAGAACAACATGTACAGTTATCACCGAGAGTACGAGAGAATAGAAAGATCCCAAATGAACAACTCGACGGATGGAGTCTTGTACAGAAACACTTGTTATGTGACCGACTGCTGTAAAAAGTTACTGTCTGGTCCATATAAAGAGGGGATAAAAGAATCGCGTTCGGTCCAATCACAACGTGGTTTATACAGTAACCATGGCAACCTGCTCCATCCCATAATGAGCCGTGCAGCGGGACGTCAGCGTAAAAGGTCACATGACTCCCGGCAAACAAAAGAGCGACTCAGCTACAAACAATTAAAACAATGACATCTCAAAAGAAACATTATGGCCACATTTAATTTAATTAAGACATGAAACAATAATGAACTCAACACACATTCAGAAGATCATGAGTCCAGATGAACTGGTGACAGCAGCAGGAAATCGAAATCCGAGTCACGCATCACGACAAGAAGCCGTTATAATCAACAAAGCGCTCGCGACATTATGATCAGTCGGATTAACTTCACGAGTGACCTTAACGAAGTCATTCACAAACCCAACGAACTCGCGAAACAATGTTGCAAATAGATCATGAACTTCGCAAACGACTGTTATAATCAACGTCGCTAGTTTGACTTCGTACGTGAACTTCAACAAAGTCATTACGAACTTGCTGTTGCGTAGTTTGTGTGCTTACACACGCCACTCGCTATATTAGGAATGCAACTTCGTTAGGTTGACTTCACGAATGACTGTAATAATCAACAAAGTTGACTTTCAAAAAATCCAATATAAACAAAACGTGACTTTATAAATTCTACTTCGTTAAATCGGCTTCATTATAATTAAGTTGTCATTCATTACATGCATTAAATAACTAAAATGCATGCTTTAAAAAAAGTCAATTTCGACAAAGTCATTACGAAGTGAACCTCAATAGTCATTCTTGTTGCGCAACCAAGTTGTGCGCTAGCAAACCACTTCACCGCTTGATTAATTAAGTTGATAATAAACAAAACAAGGCGACTTTCTAAAGACGCACAATATTCAAATTCGTTACATCGTCTTTATCGTATATTAATAAAGCTTTCTATGTTGGAAACGCACAACTTCGTTAAATGACTACAAGTTGTAAAATGATTAATACTGTTTACATCACTTTGCGATGACATTGATGCTAATACCAAGTTAGCGGTTGTAGTGTAAATAACTTTGGTAACCAGAGTAATCACACGAACGTCAAAGTCAGCTTCGTAACCGTCTTTAAGTATAGATTTGTTGATTATCGCCGCTTTGTCGCATTGCGTCGTTCGCTCTGGTGTAGACGAGGTTTAGATGCACCCTATGAAATCATAACAAATCAAAACATTAGTGGATATGAACATAAAATGATTTGCATTTGCGAACAATCAACAGAATAAACTGGCTGCATTTATAAAGTAAATATTATTCTAGTGTACATGACACAATCACTCACTCTCTCTCTCACACACACACAATCCGTTTGTTCAGACTGCTGTGAATATGAGAGGGGTCTTCTTTATTATTATGATTATGATTATTATCTCAGGAAGCTAATCACAACAGGACAAACACCGAGAGATCTCATTTGGTTTAAGTTGCTATTTACATAATCCAGCTGAAAAACATGAGTAAAAATATGGCAAAAACAACCCACAAGAATGAAAAAATATGTAAATTTACACATGTATAATCTACCGACACGTTTATAAACCCCTACGATTTAGGCCCAAAACGTCCACGCATGCGACAAAAAACTAAACGAAAAAAAAAAGAACAAACTCCCCAATATGAACATCGTTGGACGCCAGCCGCATGATATTCGTCACATCTCCGCTGTTTTTATTCGCGCAATGATCTGCGGGTCTTTCCTAAAACTCGACACAACGGAAACGCATTTGCCATGACAACCCACCGATATCTTTGACACAACACTGTCGTCACGGCGACTCGGAGGAAACGTATAAAACCTTCATCCGGACACGTTAAAACTCTTCAGACGGATTTGTGTGCTTTCCGATAAAATTACAGATTTCGTAACGTTACACAAATAGCGCAAACCTAGATGATGTCACAGCTGTACCTATGATGTCACATTCGTGTGAACGACTTCGTAAAGGACTCTGTCAAAGTCAACTTCAAAACAATAAAGTCGCAAACGCACAACTTTGTTGAATGACTGAAAAGTTGACTTTGTAAATGACTGTTAATGTCAACAAAGCCGTTTACGTCACTTTTACGTCGAGGTCACATTCGTAGCAGGTCACGCTAACAGGCTAATGATGCTAAAACAGCGAAAATTGGCCAATTCTCCCAGTGAACGTTCTCACGGCGTTTAAACAAGATGGCGGCGTAAACTGGACCTCCGTGGATCACGTGACCAGATGCTGTGGGCGTCGGTCAAGGTTTGATCAAGTCCCCGAGCAAAAAACACGCAAACGAAACGCGTCACGTGACACGTCCGGACTTCATGACGAACCGTTAAAAAAGCACATTCAAGTAAAAACAAAAATAAACAATGTAAATGATGTGAATTAGTTTATATGGAGGGGCGGATGCTTGTTTGTTTAGAATGAAATCAAGAGCGCCAAAAATACAGTTGATCACATGATGCGGTTCCTCCAATCAGACGCAAGCTCCGCCTCCTCAGCTCCGCCGGGTCCGCGAGTGCTGGATCAGCCACTGTAGTGTGATGTCTGGAACACACAACACACATATATGCCCCGCCCAGATGAGCTATGAGCAGCCAATCACAGAGCTCGCTGATGTCTTAAAGGTACAGGAGCAAAGTGTATTTTAGCGCAGTCTTACCGATGTTGTCCTTCTCCTTACAGGAGATGGAGTAACAGCAGATCTCTCTGTCCTGGATGGCCGACAGGTTCCTGCAGAACGTTACGTATCAGATTATATCCATCGCATCTAAAAATCATCTTTATTCATATTTATATAAAATATGATATAAATATAACACAACCATTTCCTCACTTCTCATGCCACCCGTTACTCTAGGAATGCTTTTTTCTTGTAGTTTTCAATATTATACATTTGTAACTGAGGGTAAGACAATATTCCACATGCTTTTAATAATTATCTGATTAAAGAGTGTGTGTGTGACTCACATTCTCTCGATGAGCTCCTTCTCGTCCAGAGCTCCGGAAAGATCTCGCTTATTTCCCAGAACCAGAACCTGAGGGCAGACGCACACGCTCTCGATCACGTCACCGAGAATAATAATAATAATAACGCACACACACACACACACACACACACACAGCGCTCACCGGGATGCCCTGCAGCTGAGGCTTGTCCAACAGGTTGTGCAGTTCGTTCTTGGACGCCTCGATCTTCTCGGGATCGGCTGCGTCTACCATGTACCTGCAGGACATCATGAGCATCGTGAGACACATCCATCTAAGCGTGACCCTGAACACACACCCAAGGTCGAGTCCAAGCGCTACACAACTGAATGAGAGTTACAGACTCACACTATAGCGCTGACGCCGCGACAGTATCGCTCCCACATGCTCCTGAAGCGCGGCTGGCCGCCGATGTCCCACAACTGCAACACAACACACACAGCAATGTTTCAATTTACTGTGTTCACAATCATCCTCATTTTTAAAACTTGATTGTACATCAGACGGGTTTAAGACCCAGGACTTCCGTCACACTTGAACACACACACACAATTGAATGGATTTGAGGAGTTTTGTGGTTGAAATTCATTAAAGTAACAAATCCGGGTTAATCTGACCCCCTTATGCTTCAGCTCAAGTGTGATCTGATGTCTGCTGTGATTTGAGGGACAGAGAGAGGGTTGTGATGCTGACCTTGATGGTGACGTTCCCCTTGGTGATCTTGCGCATGTTGAAGCCGACCGTAGGGATCATGTCTTCACTGAACTGCCCCGACTGCAGGACGACAGAGAGTTACACAGGAAGTGATGTCACTGAAACCGGATCACTCAGAGTCACAGGCCCTAAACGCCTGGGTTTACGCACCAACGACCTTCCTGAGTGTGTGTGTGTGTGTCAAACATGTGAAAATGCCTCCGACTGGACATGCCAGATGCTGATTGGTTGAGAAAGTGGGTCAGCTGATCACTGTGAGGTCAGATTGAATAGTTCTGATGACGTGTAATGTATCTGATACACAGTGATACGTCGTGTCAGATAAATGAGTAATAATGCAGAATATGATGATGATGTGGCGGCGTGTTGTATGGGTAACGTTGTGCCTGTCGAGTCTGATTTAATAATGCTGAATCTGTCACATTGTTTCTGATGTTGCTGTATCTGATTATAATGTAAGACACACTGTATTTAACAAACACTGTATCTTCAGTGTCTGATGATGTCATATGTGATCTGATGATGTCATATCTGATCTGATGATGTCATGTATGATCTGATGATGCTACATTATCTGCTACATTGTGTCTGATGGCGTTGAATCTGAAACATTGTGTCTAATGAGGATGAATATGATACATCGCGTCTGATTTGATCGGAATATCTGATACATCATATGTAATAATAATGAATCTGCCCCTGTACATATCATGTGATCTGACACATTGTATCTAGTGATGTTGTTTCTGATCAAACGAGGATGGATATGTCTGATTTGATCTAGTAATGTTGTATCTGATCTGATGAAACTGTTTTTGCCACATTATATTTGATCTGATGCTGAACGGCCTGATGTTGAATCTGATGATTCTGCATTGTGTCTGATGTTGTTGTTGCATCTTCTAGATCGTGTTGGATGTTAAATCTGATCTATTGTGTCTGATGTTCAGATGATGCTCACTGTTCTTGGTTATATCTGATAAAGATGCGTTATCCAACACACACAAGTGATTCTATCTAGCGATGTAACATCTGATCTACAGTATCCGTCTCTTCTACACTGTATCTGACGCGATGACTGATCATCGCACACATTATTATTATTATTATTATTATGATGATGTCGAGTCCGATCTCTCTATAATCCGGAGCGCGCGTCAGTCACGCGACCCGTTACTCGAGCGAGGCCTGTAATGAAACGCTTGGTTACCGCAATCACGTTGACGAAAGTGGTTTTCCCCGAGTACTGCAGTCCGACCAGCGTGAGCTCCATCTCCTCCTTCCAGAACAGGGCTTTGAACCAGTCCAGCAGCTTGTTGAAGAGCGCGATCATGGTGCGGGTTCGGCTGGGGTTCGGCTGCGGCTCGGGTCTGCTGCTCACGGATCGTCTTCCTCATTGGGTGGGGTTTCAGATGATCCACGCACAGCTGATCCAAACAATGCGGGACACGGCGCATGCGCACTCACGCTCAACTCGCGCCTGCGCCCCCTGCTGGAGACACGCCGCTGACGTCATCGGTTGTTTTCGACACAGATGTCAGATATGTAATAACACGAACATAATAAAGCATTCAACTCGAAACCGCTGAAAATATAATATAAAAATATATCCCATAATTGTATGTATGAATTATTATACTAAAATATATATAGACATACAGTCACATTTGAAGTGGATCAAAAAAGTGAATCAAAGTTGTCCTAAGACGAGAACGGGTATTGTTTAAAATTCATGTATAACTTTGATGAAAGGTTTTAATCCACTTCAAATGTTGACTACTGTGTGTGTTTTATATAACATGAATCTGATTTATAAAATTGTATTGTTGTCAAATAAACAGCATAATATAAAATATTGTCATAATAATTGCTTCTACATAATAACTCAAATCATCAATTTGAGCCTTATGGTCTGTTAGTGCTTTTTACAGTTTGATAAAATCCGCCGTTTTGAGTTAATATTTAGTCAGGTTAAGGTTTGGTAAGGTTAGAGTTTATGGAGTTAAACCCCTATTTGATCATTTACAGCGGCATGTTCGCGACTTTTTATCCACTTAAAAATACCACAACTATATATATTCAAATGAATAAACAATAAAACATTCCACAGTTCATTATTATACTCTATCGTATCGACTATTTAATTAAAATCAACGAAAATATCGCGAATGAAGGCGATGTTATCACGATAAGCGTGTTGAATCTGCTGTTGTGAACGCGCAAATGAGTGGCGCTCGCGGATCAGACTCAGCGCGAGCAGTGTTAGCGTGAACGTGCGAGTGAAATAACACACAAAAACTGAGGGAAATCGTGAACAAATCAGCAGTAAATCGACAGTACGATGCTTCTTTGTCTTTATAGATGAGTGTTTGTGCGCATAGCGGCAGATAAAGACTGTATTTGAGGTAGTTTGTGCGACTAGCTAAGGAAAACAGTCATTTATGCTTGTCTATTTATTGGTGTTATGATACATAACTTGATATTATGCTTTACAGGGTTCGTGAATCATGAAGGGAAACGCTTTCTCCCGTGATTTAGGGTAGAAAGACAACATCTGTCAAACACACACACACGGGACTCATCACCCGTCAATCAAACACTTCTTAACCTGATTGTGCTGAGGATGATGAAGATGTTGATGATGGTGCGGCCCTGACTGACACTCACACACACACACACACACACACGCACGCACACACACTCGGGATCATGGGCTCGTCTCTCAGTGAACCCTGCATCTATGATAAGCTGTCTGAGAGCATCGAGATCCTCCGGCAGTCCGGCTATCGCTACGGGATGACCGAGAGAGAGATCGAGAAGTTCATCAAGCAGGTTCTGGAGACGAACGAACCCCGCCGAGACCCGCCGCAGTTCCCGATGCTGAGGGCCGCCGTGAAGGTACGGGTCCGCGAACACCGAAGAAAGAGTACATACTTTTGAGTGTGTGTAGCAAAAGAGTAGGCAGCTGTTGGACTGTCATCTTTGATGAAAATGAAAATGATTTGAAATTTCAGTCATAAAAAATAGATTATTGATTATACAGACTACTGACACGGACTCGCTCGTAAAGACAGTGTTTTGCGCCATCTAACGGCGTAATAATGTACCGTAACTTCTGCTGCTGTCCACGGTCAGGGACTATTTTTTCCAGCGGAAGGAAGGCTTTTAGTGATTTAACTTCATGAAAGTTGCACTAATACATATTTATTTGGCTTTAATATTTGTATTTTGTGGGAACCGTTTTCTAAAAGGCCCGCGAGGTTCTTATTGCTTACGTGTGTGTGTTCAGTTTGCAGTGGCGGTGGGGGTCCTGCTGGTGGCGGTGCTGGTGTTCTCATCTCCTCTGGGATCTCTCAGCGCCGCGGGACACAACAGCTCGTCTCCGCTCAGTCACGTGCGTCTGCTGGCGCTGCCCATCGCACAGAAGTACAACCTGCACGGTGAGACCCGCTCACACAGGTGTATCTGAACACGTGTGTGTCATTTATACAGCGCTTTTAACAATATAGAGTTTCACAGGAGATTACAGTAACAGAGAGTTTAGGCTTTACAGCAGATCTAGAATATAGTTATTGTCCAGATAAAGTTAATTTTGATTGATTCACCTCCATTGTAAAGATCTTTCGTTGTTAACTTAGCGGCCGCTAGCACGACACCGCTCTACTGAACACCCTAAACGCTCTCCGGCCGCTCATCCGCATGACAACAATTTTTTGAAAACATTATCATCTCAGCGCAAACTCCTAGAACGCAAGTCGACGGTGTGCTAGGGCTGTCGCGGTAACCGGAATATTGTAGTACCGCGCTTCTGACAAGTCAACCGCAGAGGATAGCACGTAACCGCAGCAACCGCGATATTCACGTTTTTTTTTTTATAAGGCTATACCCTTCTTGTTTTGAACTTAATGCATGTGTATTGAATGTTAAACAAGTTCATAATGATAACAAGACTGTTTATCATAGTGATGTGTAGCCTACATGCTTCACACAGACAGTGAATGAGAGAGATCGGCAGAGCGCGTGCGATTACCTGCGTCTGTCTTTGAAGTCGTGAAAAGCTTGTCGTGTCAAAGGGAAGCGAAAAATTTGTCGCATCATCATTTTAACGTTCTCTTCACGTGTATTTTCCCATAAATGCGCGTCAGCAGCAGCGCTGGTCAGCATCCCACAACACAAGGAAGCCGAAAAAAAATCAGTGAGTCACGCATTGAATCAATTGGTCTCTAATAAGTGAAGCATCAGCTTCAGCGTTGCCTATGCGACACATTGCTGCTCAGCTGAGCCTTGAAAAGTTGAGTCTCAAAGTTAAAAATAATTAACATCTTGTTGAATCAGCTTTTTTAAACGTGTTCGTTGAATGAACGGTTCAATGATTCTCTCAAAGTCCGTTGTAATAACAATATGCGCGCTGAGTGAAAGTCTTTCAATGCGCATATACTGTGTAGACGCTATTTAGTTTCGGTTACATTGGTTACTGAAAATGTCCTCGTTTTTGTCCACATCGTAAACATTATTTATATAGCAACAAAAACATATAAATAAATAAATGGCGGTAATACCGCATATCGCGCTATTGAGCCACTCAACATTACCGCTAGGGAAATTCCATAACCGCGACAGCCCTACGTGCACATGCGTATTACGTGTTCAGTCCATAGGTATGCGCGTTTGAATATGTGTGTGTGTGTAGGGTTTCACCAGCGCTGGGCGTCCGGCGCTCTACACGCGGCTCCGGTGAACTGCTCCGCCTGTGCAGACGTGACCGACGTGATGGAACTCACTGATACACTGAGAGCGTCTGCGGGGAAGATCAGACTCACACAGCCACTGCTGCTCAAGGTACACACACACACTCTCTATCTCTCTCTCACACACACACACTTTCTCTCATGTCTGTTGTCGTGTGTGTGTGTTTCAGGGTGGAGCGTCTCTGTCTCGGCGTGTGTCTCAGCTGGATCAGTTCTCCTCGTCTGACTCTTTCTCTCCGTCTCCTGCCAACTTCACTCTGCTCTGGTAATGACGCTTCACTCAGTCCGACACACACACACACACACACACACAACATCGAATGCTCAACGCTTACAGCAGATTCCCACAGAACTAAACCAGTGTGCTGTAACGGTGTGTGTGTCCCTCAGGAGTTTCTCGTCCAGTCCCAGAGAGACGGTTCTCGGCTGGCTGTTCCCTGACGCGGAGCTCTGCCCCCTGCTGGAGAACACGGGCACCACACTGCAGCGCTGCCAGCTGAGTGACATCACCAGCCCACGTCACACGGTCCGTCTCACTCTGTAACTCTCGTACATGTTACACTCTATGCATAACACACTCTCTCTATGCGTGTTGCAGAGAGTGCAGGTGTTGGGTTGGCTCGTGGTGGCTGACGGTTCCCCGGCGGTTCATGTTCTTCCCGTCCAGCGATGCCAAAACCACTGCCGCTCCTTCAGCCTGTGGCTGGAGCCGGGAGACATGGGTAAGACCATCGCACGATCCGACTGGCTCCCGGTCAGGAGCAGCGTCTCTATGATGTGTGTGTGTCCGTGTGTCTGCAGTGTTCGCCGACCCGCGCCACTGGCTGATGGAGCTTCTCCCGCACGGATCTCAGGACGTGATGTGTGACGGCCCGGTGCTCTGAGACCGCCTCCCCGTGCCAATACTGTGGACTCGAGCTTCAGACGTCTGAAGAAAACCTTGGCTCGCGGCCATCGGCGCGTTTGCACCGTTCAGAGACCAGATGCTGAATCCAGACGCCGCGGCACCCTCGGACTGTGTTCAGGAAATGACATCATCACTTCTCTTCCTTCGTTGAGCTTTTCTGACCGCCGTATGTCTGGATGAAACTCAGGAACATGTTCTCGGACATAATTCATGCCGGAGTTTAAAAAATAATCATTTTTTTTTGTTCACGCGTGATTTAGGACTTGTGACATTATTTTCATGACAAATAAGCACTTTTGATCAACTCACATTACTGAGATGCAAACCTCAAAATGAAAAATCTCATTGCGGAAATGCAAAAATAAATAATATATGAAGTATTTTTACATCATGGTATTATATTTATATGAGGGAAATGGGAATATTTTTTCTGTAATAGAGTGATGGAAACAAGCTTATGGTAAATATATTTTTATATGACGGTGATGATGACTTTCTGTTGGGTGTATTACGGTAATGAGAACCAGTGATATTTTTTTTGTATAACCGTAATGAGGATGAGAATATCGGTGTATTGTGGTAATAAAAATGAGAATTTATTTCCGTATTGTAACCTAGGTGATGAGAAGGATTTTTTTTTTTTGTTACGGTAATGAAAACATATATTTTTGCATTACAGTAATGTGAAGGTGTTTTATTGTCATGAATATAACGTCACGACCCATTTGTCTCTGAAGCTCCACAGATCAGCCAATCAAAGCACTTTAAATGATGGTCATCACCTGATGATGTCACATCCTGGTGAGTGTTGGGTGGAGTCTCGCCGCTCCTCTCCACCAATCAGAGACGACCGAATGTGATGACGTCATCACCGCGATCAGATTGTGTTTTTTTGTGTCCTCCGGAGATTAATCACTGTAAATAATGAGAATAAGATGAAGATTATGTGATTTACTAATATGATTCAGAGATCTATGTTGATTGTGATTTTACACAGTAAACAAAAGCTGCTGTTCGTAACCTGTGTGTGTGTGACTGTTAAATTATATTTCCAATTTTATAATGTCTAACGCCAGAGCTAAATGTGAAGAAAACTACTAAATACAAAAAACAAACTAATCAATATTATATATCATTAACTATATAGTTCATTTTAATTATGCATATGTATAAAATAAATACGTGCACAAATGCACATAATGAAATATTTTACATTATATATATATATATATTAAATATACCTACCATATATTATTCGTTTATTTAAATTATAATTATATATAAAATTTAAAAAAAAAACAATTCAATATGTGCATTTGTGAAAGTATATATGCGTAATTAAAATATTTTAATTAAGCAATATATAAAAATAAACATTTTTATTGTTTTTATATTTTAGATATGTAAAATACATATTACATCAAAAATAAAATAAAAATATGTTAAAATACAACAGTTTTAACATTAAAAATGAACTATGGATATTGTTGAATAATTGGATATACTGCTTGATTTTTTTTCTCCAAATCAACAAATGAATTTGATGTTTTGCTGCTTAAATCTACTCAGTGAAAGTTAGCGGCTGACATTTTCCATTTCAAAAAACTAATTCCTCCGGTTCCGGTTTGCAGAAGCGCAAAGAAGCCGGAAGCCGGAGGAGGATGTGACGTGATTCTCTCTGAGGGCAGCAGGGGGCGCGCTGTGGCTCAAACTTTAAGAGACCGTCTGACTTCACAAGATTATAATACTTCGGACTGAACATTCACCAAACAAAATCCTACAATTTTTTTTTAATATTATTTGTAGTATTTATTATCTTTGGAAAAACTACATATCCGTCAACAGAAATGGGAAATATCATTACAAAAACAATGTTATACTGAGATGTGTGATATTTAACACTCCTCGCTACTCTGAACTTTATTATTTTAATAAATACAATTATTTTATTATTAATCTAGTGTCTGCAATAAAAACCGCTTCGATAATGCTGTTTAGATACTTTTTAAAATGAATTATATCTTTGACATGTAATTAACACGTTTCTCGGAATACGGTTAGAAAGTTGTTTATCGAAATAAAATAATTTATAAACAATATAGTTATTTTGTTGATCTTTTCTAAACGAGTTTGCGGAGGTGCAGCGCCGCCTGCCGGAGGACGGACGCACTGCGGTCACCGTAGCACTGATCGCACGGGCCGCGCTGCCGTCTGTCGCGGTGCATGTCGGGCCGCTGGCGGTGGTGAGTATCCCAGCCTGCGCTGCTGCTGCTCCGGAGAGAATGATGGGATAGTGGAGGACACAGCAGCGCTGCACACACACATACTCAGACATTATTTACATTATTCTGGCGCTCTAACCGTCTATATGTGTGTTTACGCGCGTGTATGAGAGACTGTAAATGTGTGTAACACGAGGCCTGCGGCGGTGCGCGTGTCCGTGTTCAAGCGGACTATAAACACACTTACAAAAGTACTGTTATAATAACATATGGTTATAATGCTGGACGTCTGATATGTATCACAGTACTGAATCATATTCATATTCAAGTTATTTATCTCGTGCACCCGTTTTCCTCAAACACACCATGGTATTATTACCATATAGATGTCACATGGTAGTACTTTTGTAGTGTTTTGTGCAGCAGCACAAATATAGTTCTTTCAAAATATTTTAGCAAAAATGCTGCTTTATTGTAAATAATAATAAAGTAGTGATTGAACCCCGCCAATTCACGTGACCAACTTGAAAATGAGCGAAATCTGCGGGGAACTGATCACGTGTTCAAAGCTGTTTTTGAGACTTTTGAGTCTTTGCTTCACTGCAATACTGAAATACTCAGCAATGCTGTCCACTTATCGACTTACACATGGTGTGTGTTAAAGCAGATTAAAAAAAACACCACAAACAATATTTAAAGATGTTTAAAAGGGGACTAAAACTCTTAAATAAGAACTGAATAATGACATTTTGGAACAGAACTGAGTCAACATTACTGACTCTGAGTGAATTATGACGCTATTGTACGAAAGCTTGTTTACATTACATCACATAAAAAAAAATATTACAGCTTTTATCTCTCATTTCTGACTTATTCTTCTCTCAAAATTATACGTTTATGACAGTTTTGACAGAATTGTGATATAAACTCAGTTTTCAGTTTTGAATTCTGAAATAGTCACAATTACCATTTTTATTTTTTTATTCCGTGGTGTAAACGAGGTCCCATACTGTTATAGTCTTCTGTCCAGACGAATAAATGTTACAACTGCCAATTAACTATCCCTACACACACACACACACACACACACGAGTTCCATATGACACGATCTCTACGCTCACAAGCCTATTGTTTGCATTCATTCGTTTCATTACTCACTTGACTGTTCTGAACACTTCTCACACACACACACACACACACACATATATATATATATATATATATATATGAAACGGTGTTTGAAACGAAGATTTACAGGAAGTGTGTGTGTGTGTGTGTGTGTGTAGGAGGATGGAGGGTTTGGGGCTTCAGACCGTGGCTCTGAGCGACGGATCCACCGCGTACATACAGCAGTCCATCAGCGGTGAGAACACACACACACTCACTCCCACACACACTAACTAACTCACTCTATCACTCAAACACACACTCTCACTCACGCACTTATACACACACACACTAACTCACTCACTAGTCTAGTAAATGTTTCTTGATTTAAGAACTTTAGATATGGACTGGAAACTAGACAGTGGTAGAGTGTGTGTGTGTGTGTGTGTGTGTAACTCGAGTGTGTTTTCTGCAGACGGGAGTCTGGTGGAGGGGAACACCGTTCAGCTGGAGGACGGCTCCACCGCATTCATCCAACACGTCACCGTTCAACAGAAGGGTGTGTGTGTGGGCATTTATAATTACAGTTTTAGCCATTTTAGTACTTCTCCTAAACGCGGTGTATTTGATGCTGATGAACCCGTGTGTGTGTGTGTGTTTGTGTGTGTTTAGAGTCGCTGGCGTTCGAGGACGGTCAGGCCGTACAGCTGGAGGACGGAAGCACAGCGTTTATTCACCACACGCCTAAAGGTGCCGCTCGAGTACACGAACGCGTTTGCCCTCTGTGTGCGTTTGACCTCTGACCTCTGTGTGTGACAGAAGGGTTCGGGCCCGGCGCGGTGGAGGCGGTTGAGCTGGAGGACGGCAGCACCGCGTACATACACCACCAGATGAACACGGATCCCGACACCATCCGCGCGCTGGAGAGCTACGCTAGCAAGGTCTGACGCCGACACCATACTCGCTACATCATCCCGTCATTTCAGATGTGCTTAACTGATGTTTGATTTGATGTGGCGCAGCTGACGGGGTCAGAGGTCGAGGTCGATGAAAACACTGAGAATACAAACGGGGAGCATGCCAGCATACAGGTGTGTGTAGTGTGTGTGTGTGAGCGTTTCTGAAGCCCAAAGTGGGCGGAGCCAGCTGTCGTCACTCCCTGTTAAACGAACATGCGAGGCGGATTAGCTGAGGTGACGTGACGCTAACGCTAGCAGAAAAACGGCTAGTAGTGACATCAGCGACAATCCACCTGTCACTCAAGTGGCCACACCCTTAATTATGCAGAACTTTAAGGCTTAATCTGTAGGGCTGTCGAATTTGCGGTTTATTTCTGTTAGCTTATCCAGTTCAGCGCGATGTAGCTGTGTTGCTAATTTAAAAAATGGTGGGAAAAGGCTCTTCCTGTTGACGAAACTCTTTCAGTACGTGGGAAAAATCATGCAACGACACACTTGACCAAACCTGTACATCGGTCAGAGCTGTGTGTGTGTGGGCGCTTATTGCGCCCTCTTGTGGGGAGAGGAGACACTCTTTTGTCTCTTAACTTTAAGAATTTGAATATAATATTTAAGTAAGAAATTGGGCCATTTTGACAGCCCTAATGTGTGTGTTTGTCAGCTGATGTTTGAGGGGAAGGTGTGGAGCTCCAGTAAAGCTCAGCCGGTCGGAGAGAAAAGCTTTCGCTGTGGACACACCGGCTGCGGACGCTTCTACACCACAGCACACCATCTGAAGGTACACAGCCGTCCCACATTGCACTGGGGTTGATCCGAGTAAAATAGTCCAAGTGACTACAGTGACAAGAATAGAGCCAGACCGATATATCGGCAGACCGATATTAGGCATTTTCTAAACTATCGGTATCGGCAGTTATAATGGCCGATAAATTAATATTTAAAAAAATTAAATAAAAACGGACGAAACACGCTTGAACCATGTCATGAGTGTTGGAGTTGTATAGTTTGTCCACCAGAGGGCGCTCTACACCGTCCCTGTTGGCTACACTCGTTGAGTTGGTCACGATACATACATTGCTTGAATAACAATTAAAAGAACATCCGCATTAGTTCTCTTAACTCAAATAAGCAGGACAAAATTTGTGACTATCATGTCCAGTTTAAAAAAAAAAATATATATATATAAAATATCGGCCGATATATCGGATTTTAAAACCCAAAAATATTTGTATCGGTATCGGCCTTCAAAATCCTTTATAGGGCGGGCTCTAGACAAGAATATTGGAGTTCACACCACAGCGATGACGATATCGTTGGGATCACTTCGTAACAATTTTTTTACACCTGTTAAACGATAAAACCCACAGCCAATCAGAATCCACACGAAATTAAAACGGCCGACAGCATCGTGGAGAAGTTAATCGCCGAGGATCAAGCCCCTTTGACACGGAAAACAATCGTTCAATAAACGAGGAGAAGTACCTCAGGTTTCCCGCGCTCGTTTCCACGCGTGTCTTGCTAACTCTGAAGTTGCGCTGTAAAAGACTAGTGTTGTGTTCATTCTACTATAGTGACTCCGTCCGCTAAACTCACTGCTAGATTATTAGCTCGATTACGCTAGCTGCACTCGAAGCACAGCACGCTGAGGACACCTGCTGGTTAAAGCCTGTAAGTGCAGCAGAACATGTTCAATGACGCTGTACACACTTTGAAACCGCAGCGCTAGCTTAGA